GGCATAAGAATTTGTTTCTTTTATTATATTGTCCACTAATTCAGTTGTAAAATATAAAAGTAAAGTAATCAATGGGTTCTTTTATATTACTTGGTATTTGTGGTCCTGTTGTTTGGTGATGTATGTCAAACTCGATTATTGGTGGAGGATCGATGCATTCAGTAACGTCTTCCCTCTCTTCACTTGATACGTCTTCTACGGAGATGTTTTCTCTTACACTATTTGTATCGCTATCACTATCTATGAAATTTCTTCGTTTTCTTGTTGGTGGGATAATATTATCATCACTATCATTACTATCGTCTTCTTCGGCTTGAATATTTATTTTGTTAAATATGTCTGTATAAATGTCTATCTCAAACTCGTCTTCACTACTGTTTATATCACGAGACTCACTGGTGCTTGGTCGTTTTACCATTTTTATAAAAGAAAGAAATAATATAAAATGAAAGAAAGGATATATAAATGGTTTGGAAATTACTAATGGTAAATTACGAAATCAGAACACTGTCTTATTACTGAAGAGATCTCTACTCTTCGACGCTTCAATACGATCTGAGTTCTTGTAAATTTCTTTCTTCAGTGTTGGACTTCATCATTATCTTACAGAGTTTCACTATATCATTGAGCCATACTTGTGTATCTTTGTTCCACTAATCCTAAATATGGTGGGACTGTTTTGTAATGTAGTAACCCAAAAAATCCATCTCCGTCTTACCAAAACTACATTTCGCCAATTTAGTAGTAAGCTTACCGTCTTTAAGCCTACGGAAAACCTCCTTCAAATGCATCTGATGTTGCTCTGCATTTTCCGACATAATTAGAAAATCATCAACATAACAAAATACATATTCCAATCCCCGAAAAATGGAATCCAAATACCATTGACACGTTTGTGCTGCATTCCGGAGCCCGAACGGCATTGTAACGTACTCAAATAACCCAAACGGTGTGGTAATTGCTGTCTGTTTAATATCCTCCGGGTTCATTGGTATTTGGTGATATGCTCGAGCCAAGTCTAATTTTGTAAAAATCTTCTTTCCATGAATCCTCTCAAACATATCATGGATAAAAGGCGGTGGATATCTGTCAGCAATTGTTTGGGTATTTAGCTTCCTGAAGTCCCCGCATGTGCTCCATCCATCCTCCTTTTTCCTAACCAAATGAATAGGACTGGCCCATGGACTGCTAGATGGTCGTATAGTCCCTTGTTCCAAAAGAAAGTTGTGTTTTCTGGATGAGGTAGCCACAAAATACACACTTTTATAATATGAATATAAAGGTATATTTAAACTCAAAACACAATTAAACATTCAATTTACAACCAACAAGACATAACCTAAACAGTTACTATGCTGCTAACCGCCATATACCATACTGCTGGGCTCTACTCTCCCCCCCAGGCGTTGCCAGATTCTTGGCAGTGTTGCCAACAAAAGTCAATTTCAGTCCTTGCTGCAGAGTGCAGACAATTTTTCTCGTGACAATCTTCGCGGTCGATCTGCCACCGGTTGTCCTGTTGTAAATATATAATGGAGCTATCGGAAAATTTGATGTTGTTGACACATAATTTTTTGGTTCAGTTATTTCGATATATTGATTTAATATGTTATGATAATCCATTTGAATGTTAACAGTTGAAACGCCTACAATATCCACTGACTGCAGCTCTCCTTGTACACAGCAAGTAACGTCAACGGGTCTTGTAACTTTCTATTTTTTAAATCAATCACTGATCCAAAATGAACCAAAAAATCCGCTCCTAATATCGCTGACGACACTTCTGCTATAATGAAAGACCATTTAAATGCACGACGTAAACCCAAATCCAAATGCATAATTCTACTACCACACGTATCAATCATAGAACCGTTAGCAGCAAATAATTTGAAATCGGTTGATCCATTCTTCTTAATCGCAAAACATTGAGGTAACACTGATACAATTGATCCAGAATCTACAAGAAATTTCGTATTTGTCTCCCTATCAAAAACATGGAGTCGCAGTTCTTTTTGAGGCTTATAATAAGCGTTGCTGCCGAGCCCTGCCTCCGTTTCAGTTTTCTTGCCTGTTAGTGACAAAGGCACACGGTGCGATGCACCCATAGGCTTTTCCTCCAAATTTCTTATGGTAGAAACAAATTTGTGATCACATGGGCGTGTTAGAACGAGATCTTGACCGATAATTATATTTCATTCCTGACCAAACCGTCATTCGCCCCATGTTTTGTGTCAACCGCCATTACACAGCCATTCGCTGTAGTCTCCAATATATTATCAGCTATCTCTGCTAACGTATTCAAATCGGATTTCGCAGACACAGACAGGATTCCTCTCACATATCCAGGTAATCTACTTAACCACAAGGAATGCAAAAATTCATCTCCCACAACACCTGCTGCATGCTCTCTCATCTCTCGTAATAAATGAGAAGGTTTCTTATCCGCTAAACTCAGCTCGTTCAATAACCTCTGAAGTTGCTTTTCTCTAGAATCCGAAAGTCTCTTAATCAAATTCTCTTTTAACCCTTTGCACTCCTATGTCGAGTGTGACTCGACATTCTTTCAAGTCCAAACCAAAGAGATATCATACACTTGAAAATTAGAAAATACAGCAGTAGTGTAAATGAAACAGATATTTAATTGAATTTGCTTGTTCCTCTATTTGTTTAAATTGTCCTATTTCTTAGTTAACGTAAACTTCAAATAAAAGACTTAAAAGCGTTGGGTGGTCTGGTAACAAAATTGAAATATAATTCAGAGTGCAAAGGGTTAAGAATTCATACTTATCTGATTCCGGCGGAATTCGAACAATATCAGAAATACACTGCAACGTCTCCGAATCTAAATTACTGATTACAGTGTCAAATTTTGTCTGATCACTTCTGATCTCTTTTGCTCTAAATTTTGCTTCTGCTTCCAAAAGGGCGGCAATTTCGTATCACTCACGGCCGCTATCACATTAGATCGTTTTTCAATATTACACTCTTCATTGCTTGAACTTTCCAAATTATCGAAATTCTTCTCTCTCGCCTCTACTCTAGTAGGTGAATGAAACATTTTACTTTTTTTTTCAATTTAAATTTTACACAGAATCTCTCACACGATGCCATTGTTCTTCTTCGTCTTTTTGGTGTCGTTGGATCGTGTGTAAGTCCAGTATTATCGGCATGTTTATTGTGTTAATGCGTGAAAATGTGTCCGCGACTATGTTATCTTCGCCCTTTATGTAGACTACGTCCGTCGTAAACTGCGAAATATAATCCAATTGACGAAGTTGTCGGTCTGAAGCTTTCCCGAGTTTCTGTCTAAACGAGTACGTCAGTGGTTTGTGGTCTGTCCCGATAGTGAATTGTCGTCCCTCTACTAAGTGTTTGAAATATTTCACGGCGGCAAAAATTGCGAGTAGCTCCCCGTCGTAAGTGCTATAGCGTGTTTCCGTTTCTGTCAGTTTCCTAGAGAAAAACCCTATGGGTCTCCATTCTCCGTTCTGACGCTGCTCGAGGGTTGCACCGATGGCATTGGTTGATGCATCCGTTGTGAGCCTGAATGGCGCATCCGGTGCTGGATAGTTGGTGAGCGTTACAGAAGAAAGAGCTTCCTTGCAGGCTTGAAAAGCTGATCTCGCGTCGTCGGTCCAATCGATGGGCGTTTTGTCGTTTTTCTTGGAGTTCTTCAGATACCCAGTTAGAGGAAGTTGGAGCTGCGCGGCGTTCATTACACATGGATGGTAATAATTAAACATGCCAAGGAATTTTCGTAATTCAATCACCGTTGATGGGAGTGGGTAGTCGTCGATGGCTCTGACCCTCTCAGGATTTGGGTGAAACCCTTCACTATTAATGCGGTACCCAAGGAACGAAACTTCTTTCTTGCCAAAATTGCACTTACTGACATTAATTGATAATTTGTGGTTCGCCAGCCGCTGGAAGACTTGTTGTAAATGGTTTCGGTGTTGTGCTTCGTTCTCTGGCATTACTATGATGTCGTCTATGTAAATAAACACAAAGTCTAAACCACGGAAAATATAGTCTATGTACCTTTGAAACGTTTGTGTGGCATTTTTAAGTCCAAACGGCATTCCCACATACTCATAAAGCCCCCACGGTGTAGTTATAGCTGTCTTTGCAATGCTGTCCGAGTTCACCGGTATTTGGTGGTAAGCCCTCTCCAAATCAATCGTCGAAAATATGCTCCTCCCATGTACGACCAAGAAGAGGCTCTGTATTAGTGGCGGTGCATATTTGTCCGGAACGGTAATGCTATTCAGTTTGCGATAGTCCCCACAAAGGCGATAAGTGCTATCTTTTTTCTTGGTGAGGTGGATCGGACTGGCCCATGCGCTGTTGGATGGACGGATTACACCCCTGTCCAGGAGTCGTTGTATTTCTCCGCGAGCTGCGGTTGCTTTTTCACCAAACACTTTTCGAGCACGTTCAGTCACAGGTGGTCCTGTAGTGACGATGGAATGACTGAACTCACTGTTGGCATCTGGTGTGAATTGTGTGGGCTTGGTGATACTGACAAATTGAGTCAGCAAATCAGTATATGACATCGTTGTGCTGATTGTGGAAATGCTGTGCACGTTAGCCCGAATAACTTTCCCTTTTGATAGTACAGCCAGTGATGGAGTCGATCAATTGCTTGTTCCTTAAATCAATTAGGAGACTGTGCTGCACTAAGAAATCTGCACCCAGGATTGGTTCAGGCACGTCGGCTATAATAAACGACCAGGAAAATTTCCGTCGCAGTCCCAAATCCACATCACTAACGTGTAAGCCATATGTTGGTATCGGTGTGGAATTGGCTGCAAATAAGGTTAGGTCAGCATTACACGAGCGTTTTTTGAATAAACGTACCGGTAACAATGAGACAACTGATCCAGAGTCAATGAGGTATCGTTGATGGGTCTGTCGGTCATGCAGATGCAGCCTAATATCCGTTGAATGTGCGGTGCTTGCAACGCTGTCATTGCCTACCGCATGAACATGTGACAGCATGCCTAGTTTCCCTGGTTGTGGGTCTTGTAAGTGCACGGTGTAGTACATCGTTTGGCATCCTGACCAAACCGGCGGTGGTAATAGCATGAACCTTGTTGGCTTGAACTTCTGCGATTCCTGTCCTGGCTCCTCGACATTGATCTCCCACGGTGATTAGAACGACCACTTTCAAACATCTGCTGTTGCTGCTGCTGCTGCTTCTGAACGTCCAAGATCGTTTTCATGCAGAAAGCCATGGCAGATTGTAGCTCAGTCAACTGGGCTGCCAAAGCCGATGGAGGTGGTGTCTTTGGCCTTTCCGACTGACTCACCGCTGCCATGGTGCTCAGTGGTCTCAGTGTATTTGGCTCACTTAATGTGACTGTTTCCATTAAACGATCAGCCATTTCAGCCAACGCATCCAGCTTTAGTGCGTCTGAAATGATGAGTAGTGGTCGTATTGAATTTGGAAGGCGACTCACCCAGAGGTTATGTAGCATCTCCTTGTTAATGCTATCGGCTGCCAGGTCTCTCATCTCCCTCAACAGTTGTGACGGCTTCTTGTCACCGAGGACGAGGTCATTGAGGAGTCTATACATCTGTTTCTGCCTGGACTCAGCAACTCGTTTGATTATGGTCTGTTTAAGTGTGGCGTATTTGTTGGTCGTGGGTGGCGTGGAAATTATGTCCGTTATTTGGTGCAACGTATCGGGGTCTAAAGCTCTCAATGTAGCATTGTATTTGACGTCGTCGCTGCGCGTTCTCGCCGCGGCGAATTCGGCCTCGATTAAATAAAACCAAATGTCTGGTCTTTCTTTCATGAACGCCGGTAATTGTGGCTTACTCACTGCAGCCAGGTACTCCGAATCATACAACGCTTGTGGCTGTAATTGTGGTTGTTTTGAGCCCGCATCTTCAGCACTTGCGCTCTGCCATGGTTGCAATGTTGGAAGTGTCGTAGGCAGTTGCGAGACATCGCGTGTGGTGATCTTTCGGTGGGCATCTTAACACGTGGGTCTTGTTGTAAAAAAAAGAAAATCCGCTTGTATCACGTCGGGGTCACCAATTATAGCTCTTTTGCTATACTAATATTTAAGGGGTGATTAGACAGCGGATGTGGTTTTCACAATATTTATTTCCAACAAGAATTAACAGTAAAAATCAACAATTAACAGTAACAGCGAACTTCGTCTACAAACACGTGTGCGCGGGTCGAGAGCTAATAACGGAAGGCAGTACTCAATTGTTTTTGATGGTTGACTCGACTGTTTTAAAGAAGAACAACGGCATCGTGTGCAGCGCCAAAGCTACGGACGTTGGCCACATCCTCTGTGGGTGCTTGGCACCCAGAGATGCCAGAAAAGCACCGCCGGGTGCACACGCACACATGCCAGATACGCGTACGTGAGCTCGTGGAGTTTCGGAAAGTCGACAAAGGCAAACTGATGCATGCCCTCTTTCTCGATTCTCCGAAGCTGCCTGAAGTAATTTCGGATCGCCTCGTGGGTGTCGAGAGAGAAAGGCTCACATTTGCCTTCTCGCTCTAAACAACTGAAATCCGACCTCCCGTCAACGGCATACGATTTGGATTCTCGACTGCCCAGGCGTTTTTACTTTCCGACCTATACATATAGGCGCACATAAGCAAAGTACCCATAATGAAAAAAAAATTTTGTAAAATTTATTTTACGGAAATACACGTTTTAAGACCTCCTGATCATATTTTAATGATTGAAAAAAAAGAAATTTTTTTTATTCCCATGTATGAGCACACATATGTATATTATTAATACGATTTTTGAAAATCAAAATACTTTAAGATTGAAAATTAATAAATTAAAATGAGATTACACTCTTTACCAGTATTGTGCACGCTGTGGTATTTTTCAATAAGAAGAGTTCTTACTTTTATAACATAAACAAAACAGTAGAATTAATAATTGCAGAAATTAATTAATAATGATTTTCCTCGATTGTTTTGAGATAACCGTATCAATTTGTTATGACGAACTAAATAGAACTAACTAGAAACAAAGGAAAAGTGATCCCGTTTGCCAGTTTAATACAAACTATGGGTTGGATCTTAAATTTTAAAAGGACATAGTCGAATATTTTTAAAGGTACAAAACATAGCGTTTCATTGTAGAACAGTAACATAAGTTAGCAGGTAATGTCATAAAACTGTTTTTCCCAGCTATATCCCTTTTTACCTGAAGTATAAGGTAAAAAGTACGAGGTACAAGGTACGACTATCCGAAAATCGTTCACATTTTATCAATGTAAATGAAGCGGCCTTTCCATCAGAGTTAAATACAAAATTTTGTTATTTCTGTGAAAACAGAACTTTCATTAGATGTAAGTGGTGCTTGAAATTGTTATGTTTTCACTGTTTTTACGAAAAGTACCATCCAGATTCATGTACTTCGTACATTGAAAATAACATATCTTAAATGTAATTGGTTAAATTCAACTTTAAAAAAAAAATATTCGAAGGTCAGACAAAAATATAATGTCACATTTAGTGTACGATTAAAATATGATTGAAAAAATAAAAAAAAAGGATTTGTTTTGGCAGGGTTCGAACCAGCACAGCAGAAGAAGTTCGGAACTTGCAGGCAAAGACCTCATCACTCACGCCACGCTGATTAGTGGTGAACATAGTTCTATTTCTGAAAATAAGTACCTGTAATAACTTTAATAATATCTCAAAGTAAAACCTAACCCAAAACCTGGTACCATTCCAACTTTTCATTGTTTTCATTTCGCGTTAACAAGATCATTTTCCATAAGCCATCAAATTTTTTACTAGAAAGCATCTCCTTTTCTTTAGTATCAAAATCCAGATGTAGGCCAAACCATTCTTTTCGCAAACCCTTTATATCGAAACCGTCGAATTTGTTTGCAATATAGAGAACAACTCTGAAGGAATTGTCTCTGTTTCTATTAATTAATGCCCATTGATGGCTCAATATACGTAGACTGCTGAGAAGTTTATCATTGATCGGCAATCGATGACGAATTTCATTTGCAGCTGTAATATAAAAATCCAAAAATATATTAAACTAGCATGCCCTGTCTCGGATTCGCCCGACCATGTGCAAAAGCAAATTGATTATCAGACGATCGTCCTGACATATATATCCGCGATAATGGAATTCTCTCGCGAGAAAGCGCTCGAGAAGCTTCGCCACCTGGCGGTAACATCGCAGTCTGCTACGGGCGAGGTATCGCGCGGATCGAATATGCGCATGCGCGCGCAAGTAGACTGTCGTATACAGGGGTCACGTGGTCTGCCAAACAGTCGTACACATGAAATCTTTGCATATAAATTACATGTTAATAACGCGCTTCTGACAAGGAACCATCGCGAACGGTCCGGCTTCGATTTTGATGAAACTTTGTACACTTATAAAGCAGCCAAAAATAATCGACACGTATTTTTTTTTAGCTGCGGTAACTCGAGTTTAAGGGGTGAAACCACCCCTTGAAGTTTTGGCTCGAAACGGCTATCTCGAAAACGGAAAGACATACAGAAAAATTGTTAATGGGCGAGGTTGATGGTTTCTTATGTACAATAACATGGTGTTAAAAAATTTAAAAAAATACAATTTGTTTATAACAAAAAAAAATTTATTAACTTAATTTTTCATTTTATTGAAATTTTCATAATGACAAAAAATGACGAGCATTTTATTCCAAATCCATTGGTATGCGATTTTTTAAAATTGCCTCCTACAGTTTTGCAGATTTTGATGATTTACATCTTGCGCGCACATCCATTATGGTAGTAGCCGTTCTAACTTTGATTTTAGTGAAGCACTGTAGGCTTGCACTAAATCAAAGTTAGAACGGCTACTACCATAATGGATGTGCGCGCAAGATGTAAATCATAAAAATCTGCAAAACTGTAAGAGGCAATTTTAAAATATTACATACCAATGGATTTGGAAAAGTTCGGCCACCCTTGAGAAAAATTTTAATGGGAGATTCTAGAGGCCAAAATAAGACGAAAATCAAGAATATCAATTTGTTGATTGAGCTTTCGTTAAAAAGTTATTCAAATTTAAATTAAAAAATTTCAAATCCTCCAGGAAAAAATTATTTTCGGTTGCGGGGGCCAATTACAATCATTTTTGGTCAATACATATACCCACGAAATCCTACGCACTTTCGAGAAAAAACTTCCTAATCGAAAATGTAATTTATGGCCAGAAATGTTGTCCGAAAATTTCATGCGGATCTTTAAAATGTCATAACTTCTGAACGGATTGAAGGATTTTAATTTTCAAAAATGCAAACGACGCGTATTTTAATCAAGAATACGTAGAAATTCTAACAATATTGAAAAAGTTATGCCTTGACACCGTAAAGTGAGAAAAACCCCCTAAAATTGGTCCAATTTTCAAACGGCTATAACTCCTACAATAGTACAGGTATCTCATTGAAATTTTTCTCTGAAACAGAGCCCATGGGTACCTACAAAAACCTATTAGACTACTTTTCTGTACAGCGTCAAACAAATTTATTAAAAATGAAAAACGAATTTTTAAGAAAAATCGACATTGCGGAGGTGACTAAATTTTTCAGCGAAAAAAAAAAATTTCAAATCGTTCTAAAAAAATTATTTTCAGTTGCGGGAGTCAATTTCAATCATTTTTGGTCAATATATATACCCCCGAAATCCTACGCACTTTTGAGAAAAAAATTCGAGAATGTGTGAAATTTTTCAACAAAATTAAAAAATTTCAAACCATTCTGAAAAAATTATTTTCGGTTGCAGGGGTCGATTACAATCATTTTTGGTCATTACACATTCCCCCGAAATCTTGGGCATTTCGGAGAAAAAAATTCAGTACGGGCGGAACTTTAAACGTTAATAATTTCTTAACGAAGCCTCCATCAACAAATTGGTATTCTTGTATTTTTCCCGATTTTTTCCTCTAGAAGTAGTGCAAGCCTACAGTGCTTCACTAAAATCAAAGTTAGAACGGCTACTACCATAATGGATGTGCGCGCAAGATGTAAATCATCAAAATCTGCAAAACTGTAGGAGGCAATTTTAAAAAATCGCATACCAATGGATTTGGAATAAAATGCTCGTCATTTTTTGTCATTATGAAAATTTCAATAAAATGAAAAATTAAGTTAATAAATTTTTTTTTGTTATAAACAAATTGTATTTTTTTAAATTTTTTAACACCATGTTATTGTACATAAGAAACCATCAACCTCGCCCATTAACAATTTTTCTGTATGTCTTTCCGTTTTCGAGATAGCCGTTTCGAGCCAAAACTTCAAGGGGTGGTTTCACCCCTTAAACTCGAGTTACCGCAGCTAAAAAAAAATACGTGTCGATTATTTTTGGCTGCTTTATAAGTGTACAAAGTTTCATCAAAATCGAAGCCGGACCGTTCGCGATGGTTCCTTGTGAGACATGCTACATAGCCTATGTCCGTCCTAGAGTATGCAGGAATAACGTGTCAAAATTTGAGGAAGATCGGTTCAATAGGTCTTGAGTTTTGCGCGAACATAAAAATCGGCTCTCTCTTTATAATAGTATAGATAGATAAACACATGTATCGTAATTACTAACTTTTCAATTTGTAAACTACTGTATGCTTAATTGTATCTATGAAGTAATATTTATGTACTACGAACTAAGATCACAAGGAAAAATTTTAAATACAATTCGAAGACTACGATCTTTGAACTAAAAGAGGGAGGTGTTGGATGACCAACACGACCAGACAAACGCCACTCCGTCACCTCGCAAAAATTATTCATCCAAAACATCCTAGTCCAGATTTCTAATCCTTACTCATCCTGAACCTCGTACCCTTCCTGCGTCACACTATCCCTTGACCATCGTCCCTACCTCTACCCAACTCTACCAATAACATATAAACGCCTGCAATACCGAAAAACGGACAGAAAGAGTCTATAGTCTTCAGTCGACGTAATAGTTGCACGAGTTTTCTTTTCTTAAATAAAGTGTTGGAATCCAACAGTACTCCGCATACCTCCTTTAGTATTCTGTGATCCTGGCACGATCTTACCAGTTTGAATCTCTAATATTAGCTGACGAGATATAAGGGGATAGATACGGGTAATGCAGCGCATTGAATACTGACACAATTTGGCCCGTAATATGGGTTTACGGAATAAGAGATTTTGCCCATATATGAGCAGATTTTGGGCCAGATGATGTCTTATTCGAAAGAGGAAGATCCAATGCAGCGCGTGCTGGTCAATATCGAAAGAGATTGTGTTCACATTTATTAATATGAACGTCGAAAATCGGGGGAAAAAATTGACAAAATACAGCCACAGAATCGAGGACTTTTTAGGTTCCTAAAAGAGTTGTGCGATTCCAATACTGACCAGCGCGCGTTGCATTGGACCTTTCTCTTTTGAATGAGATCACATCCGACCCAAAATCTGCTCATATAAGGGCAAAATCTCTTATTCCGTAATTGCATTCCCAAAAGCGAGTTCCGCCATTACATGGGTAATAACAGAGCAAGTTACGTGACAAATTTAGTTCAGTCAATCACCACGAGATGGCGCCTAATGAGGAGGGCTTGTGGTGGATAGGTATCTGCTGGGAGAATCTTCAATATATACACTTAATACGATTGCGTTCACAAAGACTTTTATTTCGAATACACGCTTCGGTTTTTATGTGCTTCTGTCTTATCGAGGGCGCCGAACAGAACTGGGCCCTTTTCATCCCTTGGGCCATGTACCAAGGGGGGTGCGCCAACTTAAATCTAAATACTACAAACTAGTGACTTTTACTTAAACTAACTAAAACTAACTAGACTAGGAACTTAACTAGATGGCGCTTGTTACTCCTGTGACGTTAGTCGCCACAGGCTTATGGCCGACTCTAGGCCAAATTAAAATAATATGTCAATTATATATATTATTAACAAATAAGTTTAAATGTTTTGTTCATTAAGAACCAAAGACAGAATGAATGAATTCTTTGTTTTTCAAAATAACAAAAATCGAATAAAACAGATGAAACGAATAACGAATCTTCTAGCAAATCTTCAACTCCAGCGAGCTTCCATAGATGACACCCTAATCGCTGTTTTGTTGGGCATCACAAGCCCTTTAGATTAGGCGCCATTTCGTGGCGACTTCCTGAACTAAGTCTGTCACGTGACTTGCTCTGTTATTACCCATGTAATGTCGAAACTCGCATTTGGAAATGCAATTACGGAATAAAAGATTTTGCCCTTATATGAGCAGATTTTGGGTCGGATGAGATCTCATTCAAAAGAGAAAGGTGCAATGCAGTGCGCCCTGGTCAGTATTGGAATCACACAACTCTTTTAATAACCTAAAAAGATCTCGATTCTGTGGGTGTATTTTGTCGATATTTTTCGCTACTTTGTACGTCCATATTAATAAATGTGAACACAATCTCGTTGGATCATGACCAGGGCGCGTTGCATTGGAACTTCCCCTTTCCAATGACCCCTCATCCGACCCAAAATCTGCTCATGTACGGGCAAAATCTCTTGTCCCGTAAACCCATATTCCGAGTCAGATTGTGTCGGTATACAGCGCGCTGCGTTACCCGTGTGTACGCCTTAGGGATCTATCGCTAATAACTAATTAATTAGAGCGAGGAGCGTTGCAAAATTGGTCCTTGAATGTAATTGAGTATTATAGAAAAGTTGATAATTCGTCGATTGAAGGAGACAGTACTACAGCCGTAAATGTCCCGACTTCCGATACTTCGTTAATAACGTCTTAATTACAGGCAGAATAGTTATAAAAATTATCTTCGAATGTCGCCAAGGATCTATACTATATTCTTCAATTCTAAAAGTTCCTATTTTAATCCTAAGAAAGGAGTTACTAATGAATAATCAAGCTACTGCGTATTAGGAGTAGCAGGAGTGGGGGAACCTATACTCCGCATACCTCCTTTGATATTCTGAGATCCTGGTACAATTTTAGCAGTTCGAATTCTCGATATTAGAAAACCTGAGGTCATTGCTGAACTTCAACGTTTTTCGGGGATGGTGAATTATTATAGGCATTGTATTCCACATTTGGCAGAAATTCAAGTACCACTGAATCAGTACTTGAAGAAGTCGAGGAAAAATGATAAAACTAAAATAGTGTGGACAGAGGAAGCAACACAGGCGTTTGAAGAGTGCAGGGAGCGGATGGCAGCCACGACTCTTACTGCGCATATTTCCTCGTCGGCACCGATGACATTGACTACAGATGCTTCTAACGTGGCCATTGGGGCTGTTTTGGAGCAGTTGGAGAACGATCAATGGAGGCCTGTTGGTTTTTTCTCAAGGAAATTGAGTAAAACAGAACAAAATTATAGTACCTATGATAGGGAATTGCTCGCGGTGTTCGCAGCTGTAAAGTATTTTAAACATATTTTGGAAGGTCGACAATTTGTAGTTAAGACAGATCATAGACAGATTTCTACAGATTTTTTGGACCCATTGATTACTTTACTTTTATATTTTACAACTGAATTAGTAGACAATATAATAAAAGAAACAAATTCTTATGCCAACAATAAAATAAGAAACAAACAATTATCACATAAATCAACTTGACATAAGTGGCACGATGTTACCAAGCCAATTCCTAGCTTTCATCGCCGTTATTCTGAACATAGGATTGATTAACCTGCCTAATATTCAAGAATATTGGTCTACTGCTTCAATTAGTAGAATTCTCTTCTTTTCTGAGACTTTCAGCAGGGACAGATTTCTACAGATTTTTTGGATGCTCCATTTGAAGAAAAATACACGAAGCGATAACAATATTACAACCCGTATACAAAAGGCAAGTAATTATTTAGAATATATAGATTCTAAATTTAGTCAATATTTCATACCGGATAAAGCAATTTCTGTTGATGAATCTGTGATAAAATTCAAAGGCAGAATATCATTTATAACATACAATCCAAATAAGCCAACGAAATGGGGCAGCACAACATCCAATAGCATTTCCCGGCCAGATCTTCCAGTAAGCGCAAGAATTCCCTTACATTTGTATAAAAAATTGTTAGACAAAGTTCCCAATGCGCAAGGTTATCATATGTACACTGATAGATATTATACCGGCATTCCCTTAGCAGAAGAATTGCTAAAGATGGAATGTCATCTTACGGGTACAATAAAAGTAAATCGAAAAGGCATTCCTATGCAAATTCGAAAACCAAAGTTTTCAACAAACAAAATAGTTGCATATAGAAAAAATAATATTACACTTCTTGCGTGGAAAGATAAAAGAACAGTCACAATGCTGAGCAATTATAATAGTACAGGAATTCAATCAGCATCCAGAATATTACACGGTGGAGATAATATATCAATCGATAAGCCTCAAATGGTTCTGGATTATACGGCAAATATGGGCGGTGTGGATTTCATTTCTCAGTTCGTTACAGAAATTCTGCGTGTTAAGGGAAACAATAATTTTGTGGCAGATGCGTTGTCAAGAATTTGTCAAATTGAAACGCCTTCTGTTTTGCACCCGCAGACAATATATTTGGAACAAGAAAAGGATGAAGAGTTGAGAGTGATATTAGAAGGTGAAACGTCAATGGACATGCGGCAGATAATGGTAGAGAATAACATGATTTACGTGGATGTGTCAACGGGGCGAATTCGTCCATATATTCCGAAAGTTTTGCGACGTACAACTTTTAATGTAGTACATGGATTGGCTCATCTGAGTGGCAGAGTTACAAGTAGGCAGTTGAAGGAGAAATACGTGTGGCCGGGTATTAACCCTTTGCACTCCTATGTCGAGTATGACTCGACATCAATTTTTATCTCAGGAGCTCCTTCGTCAAGTCCCATTCGACATTTTTTCAAGTCCAAACCAAACAGATATCATACACTTGAAAATTACAAAATGCAACAAAAGAGTAAATAAAACACTTATTTTAACAGGTCAATTTCAAATAAAACACTTCAAAGCATTGACAGCCGCTGGTAACAAAATTGGAATATAATTTGGAGTGCAAAGGGTTAATAAGGACACGATTAAATGTACCCGTGAGTGTATTCCTTGTCAGAGAGCAAAAGTACACAGGCATAATAAACTTGAGCCTAAAAAAATTGATATCCCGGATGGCAGATTTAACCATATACATGTTGACATAATTCATATGCCATTGGCGAAGGGTTATAAGTATTGTTTGACGATAATAGATAGATTTTCTAGGTTTCCGCTGGCGATTCCACTTCAGGATATTGAGGCAGCTACTGTCACGGCAGCATTGTTCGGGCACTGGATTTGTTTGTTTGGAACACCAAAGACAATAACGACTGACCAGGGTTCTCAGTTTGAGAGTGCGTTATTCGCGGCGATGGCAAAAACTATAAGTGCAAAGCAGATTAGGACATCACCTTACCACCCTGCATCGATCGGGATGGTGGAGACATGGCATCGCACTTTGAAGTCAGCATTAATGTGTAGTCCACAAATTCCTTGGATCGAAGCTTTGCCAGCAGTGTTACTAGGACTTTGGACTGCGTATAAAGACGGTATCAAGGCATCCCCGGCGGAAATGGTTTTTGGAGAGACATTAAGGATACCGGGCGAGTTTTTCATGGAAGAGGACGGGCAACCTGATCCAGAAATATTTTTGGAAAAGTATAGAAGAATAATTCAGGGAATACGTTCGACACCAGTGGCGCATCATAGAAAAGCAAAGATGTTCACACACAAGAATTTGTACGAGTGTTCACACGTTTTTCTACGTTTGGATGAGGTACGTTCCCCGTTAAGACCACCGTATACGGGACCTCATCAGGTAATTAAGAGGATGGATGATCGGAGATTTGTCATTCTTGTGAATGGGAAGGAAGTAACAGTTTCGGTTGAGAGGTTGAAACCGGCTTTTATGGTCAATCAAGATTCTGTTGAGAATGATGGGACGAGTCAAGAGGGTGATTTGAAGCTACGAATAGAGAAGAAACCCAAGACGTATTCAAGGAAAAAAACCGTAACTTTTAATGTGGAATAGTATCAAAATAATATGTTGTAAATGTGTTATAGGGGAATGTAAGATAGGGTATAATAAATTTTTTTTTAAATTGTTGGGGGGGGGGGGAGTACTGTGGCGACAGGTGCGTTTTCTGTTGCGAGGTTGTGCTCTACTTTACCGATTAAAGGGTTGAAGTTGGGGTTGTTATAAGAAAAAGTTAATGTTAATGTTTTTTGTTTTGTATCGCTAGGAGACGGCGAGGAGTTTGTTAAAAATGTTATAAGAATAAAACTGAGAGTCGTACATATGTTCTAATTTACTACGGCTATAGGCTCTACTCGGGTTGTTCGTAATGGCGCTACCATCGCGTCCACGCTTCGGTCGCGTTGCTTGTAGCGAGCGCGTAAAACTGGAAGGTGATTATGGCGATTACGCTCCCTTCTGTTGTCCATATAAGTCGGTTCCACGCTTTGTTTCCGCATCGTAATATATTGTTTTATAGAAGGAAATGGAAGTCTTTAATTTCTTTCCCACGTGGGTACCATCGATCCTCAAGCTACTGCGTATTAGGAGTACCATGCGTGGGGAACCTGTACTCCGCATACCTCCTTTAGTATTCTGTAATCCTGGCACAATCTCACCAGTTCGAATCCCTAATATTAGATGACGACATATAAGGGGGTAGATACGGGTAATGCAGCGCACTGTATACTGACACAATTTGGCCCGAAATATGGGTTTACGGAATAAGAAATTTTGCCCTTATACGAGCAGATTTTGGGTGCGATGAGGTCTCATTCGAAAGAGGAAGGTCCAATGCAGCGCGTGCTGGTCAGTATGGGAATCGCATAATTCTTCTAATAACCTAAAAAGACCTCGATTCTGTGGCTGTATTTTGTCAATTTCTTTCTCAACTTTCGACGTTCATATTAATAAATGTGAACACAATCTCGTTCGATCATGACCAGGGCGCGCTGCATTGGACCTTCCTCTTTCGAATGAGACCTCATGCGACCCAAAATCTGCTCATATAAGGGCAAAATCTGTTATTCCGTAAACCCATATTTCGGGCCAAATTGTGTCAGTATTTAGTGCGCTGCATTGCCCATGTCTACCCCCTTATATGTCATCTAATATTAGGGATTCGAACTGGTAAAATAGTGCCAGGATCACAGAATACTAACGGAGGTATGCGGAGTATAGGTTCCCCCTCTCCTGGTACTCCTAATCGCAATAGCTTGAGGATCGTAGATACCCATGTGGGAAAGAAATTAAAGACTTCCATTTCCTTCTATAAAACTATATATTGCGATGCGGAAACAAAGCGTGGAACCGTCTTATATGGAAAACAGAAGGGAGCGTAATCGCCGTAATCGCCTTCCAGTTTTACGCGTTCGCTACAACCAGCGCGACCGAAGCGCCAACACGACGGTAGCGCCACTACGAACAACCCTAGCACAGGCCTCCTGATTAGGCGCCATCTCGTAGCGACTGCCTGAACTAAATTTGTCACGTGACTTGCTCTGTTACTACCCATGTAATGGCGGAACTCGCTTTTGGGAATACAATTACGGAATAAGAAATTTTGCCCTTGTATGAGGAGATTTTGGGTCAGATGAAGACTCATTCGAAAGGGGGAGGTGCAATGCAACGCGCGCTGGTCAGTATTGGAATCGCACAACTCTTTTAGTAACCTAAAAAGTCCTCGATTCTGTGGCTGTATTTTGTCAAATTTTTTCTCGACTTTCGACGTTCATATTAATAAATGTGAACGTAGTCTCGTTCGATCCTGACAAGCGCGCACTGCATTGGACCTTCCTCTTTCGAATGAGACCTCATGCGACCCAAAATCTGTTCATGTAAGGGCAAAATCTCTTATTCCGTAAACCCATATTTCGGGCCAAATTGTGTCAGTATACAGCGCGCTGCATTACCCGTGTCTGTTTTAACAAATTGGTATTCTTGATTTTCGTCTTGTTTTGGCCTCTAGAATCTCCCATTAAAATTTTTCCCGGGGGTGGCCGAACATCCTGTATAAGCGAGGTACCATAATGAAAAAAAAATGTTGAGAAATTTCTTTTACGGAAATACACGTTTTAAGACTCTCTGATCATATTTTAACAATTGAGAAAAAAGAAATTTTTTTCATTATTTCTAAGAATGAGCGTGCATATGTATATTACTAATACGATTGAATAGAAATACTTAAATGAATTTCAATGAAACTTTTTACATTTAAGTTTTATGTTATTTGTGCGGTATATCTACCCCACAGGCACTTTTTATGTATTGATATAGCTACGACTTTCCAGTAATCGTTTATAATTAATTAATTACATGGAAAAATGTGAGCAAACATAGAATGTAAATAAAAAGCGTGGAAAATAAATGCTGTGATTTAAATTTTTTATTAATAAAAACATCAGGAATACACTTTTATTTTACACTTTTCAAATTCTATTATTTATGAAACACGTTTAAGAGATAAATTAAATTGTTGCATTTAAACAAAAAAATGAATAGAAACGAATTCGTGTGACCGAGTCTAAACGCAAGACAAAAAGAGATCAATTTGAGCAACTTGCGTCTCTTAGATTGTAAAAACTAATTGTATTTTATATCTGTATACACATTAACATAATTGTAAATACATATTACATATTAAGAATTTACAAAAACTTTAGTTTTCCGAATCCATCATTGTCAAAGTATTAAATACAATTATCACAGTTTCTTAAATGGTATCTAACAAAGTAAATAACTGGTGTCACGTGAAATGCGTTGAACAAATAAAATCCAACATCAAACTCGTTATAAGTTTACTAATATTTTAGAAACTACTAAGACATACTATAGTAAAAAAAGTTTACCAGACGCTCATTTGATGAATCGTTCCTACCAAGAGACATTGCAAATATTTCAATTATTGTAAAGGTAACTATAATACAACTATAATTATCTAGACGTAATATTTATTATAAAAGTAACTGTAATGTAACTATAGTTGATACAGTTACCTTTGTTATCTTGATTAACATACATTTATTAGAAGTATAAACAAATATTCTATATGTAGTAACTAAAAACTAATCATTTCGATTTTGTAGAGGAGTGAATAGTTTATGTGGAGAAGTTTCGGGTGTTGAATGGGCAAACTTCGGAAGTACTAACGTATTTTCCTTCCCTTTAATGTATTCGCATTTTCCATCTGCTTTCAGTTGTTGTATGATCTTTTGCTGTTTCCCTATTGTCCTTGTCTTGCAGAGTAAATCCTAAAAATTTTTTAATTTATATCAAAAACATGTAACAATGTATTTATGTCTAAAAATAAAACGAACACGCGTATTGAATGGACAAACAAAAAATGAAATCACATGCTTTTATTTATAAATTAAGAACATTTATTTAATGTTATATATATACTGTTTTTAATCAAGTATGTATGAACTAAATGTAATTAATGCATGCATTAAAAAATACACACACACACGCACACAATTTCCATGCATAACAGAAAGAACAATTTAATAAATACGTAGAAAGTGTCTGTACAAATATAATTAATCTAACTATATAAATGGAAAGTTATTTGTTAACATAATGGTGTAAAAGTAAAAAAACAAAATTAGCGGCACCTGTTCCAGTTGGAGAATTTTATCTTTCAATTGAGACACATGCTTAATTCTTTGTCTATGATTCTGGTGACCAATGAACTCGGTATACTTTTCACTAATCTCTTGATAATCTTTTGCGAGGCGACCGTTATCTTCAAGAAGTCTTTGTATTTCCCTAGATAAATAAAATGACGTTTATTTCTTTGATGTTTAAGGAACGAAATTTATGAAAGAAATCATTTTTTTTTAACGAAAACCTACTCTTCAGCTGCTATTCGGCGGGCTTTCTCTTCCTCAAATAACTTAACCTGTACAGAAATAATTTTAATAATTGCATAAACTGATGTTAATGCGATTTTATTAATCTTTTAACACATTTAAGTAATTTAGACTCGAGATACACAGGGTGTTCGGCCACCTCTGGGAAAAATTTTAATGGGAGATTCTAGAGGCCAAAATAAGATGAAAATCAAGAATAACAATTTTTTAATGGAGACTTCGTTAATAACTTATTAACGTTTAAAGTTCCGCCTGTAAAACGGCAATTTGAGAACAGCTGCGCACGCGCGATAGTGGTTCTCACTCAGCATGAGAAACTCTACTTACTGACTCACCCGACCAGTGATGGACATTCGTGGGAATTTTGGACATGCGCACTAGAATTTTCCCTCGTGGGATTCCTTTTTGCGCATGCGTTAGCTTTCTGCCATAGATATATCTTTAACGCAAAAAGAGGTGCTTGTTGGGAATTCTCATGTTTTGTACAAAATTGAACTTTCTACTTCAAATGCTCGCCAATCACACAAAAATTAACTTATCGAAGATCCCCTACGTATTTCTCTAGCTATACTCATGTAGATTAAGAGGAAATGTGTTGTTTTTGTCTCTTTCCCTGTAACTTCCTTAAATTTTGTTCCTTACTGGGATCCAACGGTACCCTAAATTCTAGTTAAGTGTATACGGCAATGATCATGCGCTCCAGTGCGCATGACCAAAATTCCCACGAATGTCCATCACTGTCATCGACAGTTTTACAGTTTTCTGAGTGAGCACCATTATTGCGCGTGCGCAGCAGTTCGCAGATTGCCGTTCTACAGGCAGTACTTTAAACATTAATAACTTTTTAACGAAGCCTCCATCAACAAATTGGTATTCTTGATTTTCGTCTTATTTTGGCCTCTAGAATCCCCCATTAAAATTTTTCCCAGGACTGGCCGAACACCCTGTATAAAATACTAATTACCTGTACGAAATCCTTTTTCTCTTCAATATCTTTAATTTGATCGGAAAATTCTTGAATTTTAGCATTTGCCTGGAAATATTAAATTGTCGCTAGATATTGTCGCTCACGTTATATCATTAGGGGGGGACAATAACACAACAATATAAAAAAAGTACCTCGTCCAAATCAATTTTATGTTCTGCTGTTTGCGACTTCAACAATTTCTTAGTCTCGTCTAAAGCTGCTTTACTAGTTTTCAGCTGACCATGAAGCTTATTGTTGAGAAGGTGCACTCGAGAAACCTCCTGTTTTTGAGCATCATACTTTTCTTCCAACTGAAGTAACATGTCTCGTGCATCGTTAAGTTGCTCAGACATTTCGTCAAGTTGATTTTGTAACTAATATTTTGAGATAAAAAAGTATTTCGTTTAATTCATTGCAAATAATATTTACTAACAAATATTTGTATTATAAAAAAAAGCAACTCCACCTTAACATTTTGAGCATCTTTCTCATCAAGATCAGCTTCTAATTGTGCTTGTACTTGCAATGTTACTTGTTTCGTTATTACTTGTCTCAAACCATCGATTTTAGCTTCGTATATAGATTTAATCGATTCCACCTCGTAAAAATTTCCAGTTTCTAGTTGATTGACTGATCCTTTCTTATCATTTAACTGCTCCATTAAAGCGTATATTTGTACATGTACCATTTGTGAATTGTTGCGCATAATACTTAATAAATCGCGATGCCCATTTATACAATTTTCGTTGCACTTTAATTCATGTTGCAGCTTCTCCGCTTCAGTATCGTTCTGCATTAAGTGTTGCGTTAAAGCAGCAACAGATGCTTGATTCTCAGCCATTATAACTTCGAATCTAAACGACATTTAGATATTTACAATGCATACATACAACACACACATACAAATACAAAGTTATACCTTTTTTTCTTAGATACTATTTCAGCCGCTTCCGAATGAATCTGATCTTTCAAAACCCTTAGTTCTTCCTTTTTCCGTGCTAATTGGGCTTCTGTTCGATCCAGTTCTATTTGCAAACTCTGACCGAAATTCTCCTAAATTTAATATACATTAAATAACTCAAGAAAGTGTTACGTACAGTAATCCCCCCTATACAACGGTACTCTTATAACGCGTTTGCATATTACGCGATTTCATGTCCCTCGTATAACACGTGTTTTCCCCCATATAACGCGGGGATTTCCCACGTTATATTTCTGTACTGTGAAATTTATAATGATTTGTACAGTTCATAATCAATTTCGCGTTCGCTGTTTTTTAGTTACATATGTATAAGTTTTTTATTTAAAATATTCTTAGTTTGATTTTAATAAAACGCACATATTTCGTTCATAACATAGTTTTTCCTTAATATTCGATTTAAACCCCCTTTAACGAGAAAAGTTAAACGTGAATCATTTGTACATAACGCGTTATACGGGGTCATACGATGGTTTTCCTATAGCGCGGAACCAATCTACCGTGTTATAGGGCTGATTACTGTATTTAATTATTTTATGAATATTATTTGTGATACACGAATGTATGCAATTAAGTACCTGAGTTTCCGCAGAAGACTTTAATTCTTCAAAAATATCGAAAAGTCTGGCGATTTCAACGTCTTTCTGTTCAAGTTTTTTGTCTAACGCTACACGTTCCATTTCTACTTGTGCTAAATATGCTTCGTATCTTTCTGCAGTTAGACGCATTTCCTCCTCCACTGCAACCTTTGCTTCTCTGATCATAGCAAGTATCTACATATATAAGTTGAGTATTAAATTCTTAAACAAGCATTGTATGCATTATGTATAATATACAGGGTGTTCCACAGGGCCACCTCTGTGAAAAATTTTAATGGGAGATTCTAGATGCCAAAATAAGACGAAAATCAAGAATGTCAATTTGTTGATGGAGGCTTCGTTAAAAAGTTATTAACAATTAAATTCAAAAATTTCAAATCGTTCTAGAAAAATTATTTTCGGTTACGGAGGTCAATTACAATCATTTTTGGTGAATAGACATAACCCCGAAATCCTAACCATTTTTTAGACAAAAATTGAGTAAGTGAACAAATTTTGGCGACGAAATTAAAAAATTTCAAATCACTATAAAACAAAATTATTTTTGGCTACAGGGAACAATTACAATCATTTTTGGTAAGCAGACATACCTCAGAATTTCTAACTGTTTTAAAAAAAAATTGAGTAAATAGACAAATTTCGTCGACGAAATTAAAAAATTTCAAATTATAAAAAAATTATATTTAGTTACAGGGGTCAATTACAAGCACTTTTGGTGAATAGACATATCCCCGAAATCCTAGTCATTTTCGAGCAAAAAATTCCTTTCCGAAAATATAATTTTTGGCCAAAAATTTACCCCAAAATTTCATGCGAATCTTTAAAACGTCATAACGTCTGAACGGATTGGATGATTTTAATATTTCGAAATGCAAACAACGCGTATTTTAGTGGAGAATATGTAGAAATTCTAACAATATTGAAAAAGTTATGCCTTGACACCGTAAAGTGAGAAAAACCCCCTAAAATTGGTCCAATTTTCAAACGGCTATAACTCCTACAATAGTACAGGTATCTCATTGAAATTTTTCTCTGAAACAGAGCCCATGGGTACCTACAAAAACCTATTAGACTACTTTTCTGTACAGCGTCAAACAAATTAATTAAAAATGAAAAACAAATTTTTAAGAAAAATCGATAGGGTTAGTGTTAGTGGTGCTTGAATTTTTCGGCGAAAAAAAGATTTCAAATTGTCTTGGAAAAATTATTTTCAGTTGCGGGGGGCAATTACAATCATTTTTGGTCATTAGGCATACCCTCGAAATCCTACTCACTTTCGAGAAAAAAATTCGAGAATGTGCCTAAATTTTTCGGCAAAATTAAAAAATTTCAAATCGTTTTAAAAAAATTATTTTCGGTTGCAGGGGTCAATTATAATAATTTTTGATGAATAGACGTACTCCCGAAATCCTGTCCACTTTCTAGAAAAAAATTCAGTACGGGCGGAACTTTAAACGTTAATAACTTTTCAACGAAGCCTCCATCAACAAATTAGTATTCTTGTTTTTCGTCTTATTTTGGTCTCTAAAATCTCCCATTAAAATTTTTCCCAGGGGTGGCCGAACACCCTGTACAACCATTTTAAGACCCCCCAATAACATTTTGATTATTACAAAAAAATATTATTGTAGGTTTGAATGAAAACCAATTTATCTATATATTAAAAAAGAGCACTTAGTAACTATTTACGCTTTATATGCGTAAACCTCCCCTCTTACTTTTGCGTCGCTCTCTGTGATTACTCTTTTTAATTTCTCCTCACATTCGTCAATTTTATCCGTTAAATGAGTAATACAAGAATTCAGTTCTAATTTTTCGTATTCCAATGAACTGACTTCACATTTATAACTTGTAGTTAATTTTTCTAACTTTATTACTAGTTCTTCAATTTGCGCTTCGAGGGTTTGAATCTGTAAATCAAAATTAAACGATTAAAATCAATGTATAATTCTACCAAGAAATTAATTGTTCGCTATTAGTGTTTATTTACCTTTTCCTGGCTGGCATGTTCCTTATTGGCTAAGTCAATTTCTAACATGGCTATTCGATTTCTCAGGTCTCCATCCACTGCGCTGATAATCTGAATTTCAGATTCTTTTTTCCGAGAAATTTCTGTTAACTGACCATGCAGCTGCTCTATTTCAACTTGATGTTTCTCGATGTTATTTTTCAATACTTCTTGTTGCAATTTAGTCTAAAAATAGAAACTATAAATCAGTAATCTGTAGAATAAAATTGTTCTAATTACAAAAAATATTCTACTACCAATGTTTCTATGTCTGTTTTGTGTTGGTTCTCAACTTCAACTTGCTTTTTATGTAATTCTTCCAATTTTAATTCTAATTTTTTCACTTCTTCGCGCATATCTTGGATATGTTTCTCATGTTTTTGTATAGTTTTGCCTTTGTTTAAACACTCTGCTTTAAGACCTGCTACATGATTTTCAGATTTATACTTTATTTTCTTGTCATTAATCGACATAAACGTGTGTGGCTTCACTTTTGTACAGGATCTCGAGATCAATTTTCTTGGTGGACATTGAGGCTATAATTAAACATGTCTTTATTAGAATTAAGATTTATTTTAAAAAGATTTTAGTATTTGTTAGAATCTATTCATTGTAATGTTCCATTTAGATAAATTTTTTTCTTACCGATTTAAAATTCACGTGTAAACTACTAGTACTTTTGGAAAGAGTTGATAAACTACATTCAGCACCAATTATGCTTTTATTATCATGAAATCTTTCCGATTTCTCGATAACAGAACCTAAGACCTTATCGTCAAATTTTGGATCATATGCACCTGGTGCTGGCACTTCATCTGTAAAATTTGTTACTTATATTAGCACTATCCATTATAAATTTAATATACAAATCATATATTAACCCCTTAGCTTACAATGACGTCTCAGAGACGTGATAAGTCTACCGGGCCAAACCTTGATGTAGCTTTTGGCACGCACAGTTGGAAATTAAATCGTAAGGCAAGGGGTTAAATTCATAACATGAATAACAAGTATTATTTTTATATAATAAGATAATTATTCGATAGTCAACAAGTTTTTAAATTTTACTCGTAAAGTCCATATATACTTCAAATGACAATGTAAATATAATTAATGTTACTTTACAGTTTCTGTTTGAGAATTGTCCTTTCATCAGACTAAGAATAATATAGCAAGTATGTTTCTTAAAATAGAATAATTTGATAAATAGGGCAAGACGTGTAAAGAATAACAATCGAATACCTTCAAAAATGTTATTAAAACAAGTTAAATTGTATCGATATAAATTCTTTTTTGGGACAATTTATTTCCTCCGTGTAAAGTTGTTAAAAACCTTTAGTGATCAAACATACGAGGTGTGTAAATTAAGTAATGAGACTGGCAACGTAGCGTTCAATCTGTCAACATTTAAGATGCGGGACTTGGAGAAATGGTAGGTGAACGTGTGATACGTCTTCGATACAAGTTTGTACTCGCTAGAGTCATTTGGTTGTCCGTAGCAATTATTTTCGTAAAACAGTTGCTTCTAGTGCGTTCTAAAAATGCTTTCAGATTTGCTTCTTCGATAGCCAGGGAATCGTTCACAAACAGTTTGCGCCTCAAGGCCAAATGATCAATCAACACTTTTAACGAGAGGTTCTAGACAAACTTCAAAAAAGGGTCATGCGTGTGAGGCCAAACATCAAGAACAACCGGGTGTTGCATCACGACAATGCGTCTTGTCACACAGCAATTTCAGTAAATGAGTTTTTGGCCAGTAAAAACATTCCTGTGGCCCCTCAGCCTCCTTATTCGCCTGACTTGAGTCCTTGTGATTTTTTCCTCTTCCTGAGATTGAAAAATCACCTCAAGGAACGTCATTTTGGGACACTCGAAAACACTGAAGCGACTGTAACCGATCAGTTGAAGGCTATACTGATATCCGAGTTCCAGCGTTGTTATGAGGATTGGAAGAATCGTCTCCAGCACTGTGTGGCTTCCCAAGGAAGTTATTTTGAAGGAAATAATATTGAATTGTAATTCTATATGAATAAAAAATTTAAAAAAGTCAGTCCCATTACTTAATTTACACACCTTGTACATTTATAAATCATCCTGTATTATTATAAAAAAAACTTTTTATTACTCCTTATTTTATCTAGAAAAAGAGAAATAATTTCTCTACGAAAATATGTTGAATGAAAAAATTTATAATTGCAACACAATTTAACAAAAGACAACTTATGAGAAAAATGATAATGATACTATTAACGTATCATAATAATAACAAAATTATTTATTCAGAATCTTATGTTCGTATTATAAAATAAATATAACAAGGAAATATAAATACTTACTTTTAAATTCGTTAAATCTTTGGATTTTGCCTTTTGAAAACGACATTGTAAAATGTTTGTAACGTATTACAAAACAATAAACAATCGATAGAAACAACGGTAATATTAATTTACTGGTTATCACGTAACAGATCTTGATTTTTATAGAAATAGAGTTATCTATGCAAATTATACTTTTAGACCTTTCGAACTTAAACCCCCAAATATTTGAAAAAATGCGCTGTCTTTACTTTATGATTACTTGTTACTTCCAAACATTCTTTCGTGTAGAAAGAACTGTACTGGTTTTTCAATTCAAAATATCAGTTAACTCATTCAATGTGAACGTATGAACGAATCAGCAATCATGTTACACAAGCAACCAATCTGGTGTAGCCTTTTCTATCATTTGTAAAAAATGGCGCCAGTAAAGTGCTTTGATTAGATAAAAGGGGGTATTATATGAACCCTTGTTTTGTTGTTTCTGAAAATTATATAAAAATTGTTGGAAAATTAATAAAGAACGGTATTATATATATATATATATATATATATATATCGAATATTAGCCTATCTTCTTTTTCGACCCCCCAACGTTTTACAAGCTCATATGATTGAACATTAGTATGCGAAAGTGAAAACAGAAATTCCGAATGCACCACTAATCTCTATACAGGGTGTCCCGTAAATAGTGCAAGAATCGGAAATGTGGGGTAGTTGAGACGATTTTGAACAACAATTTCCTTTGCAAAACTGTCGGATGGGGCTTCGTTTTTGAATTATTAACCGGAAATTGTTGTTCAGAATCGTCTCAGCTACCCCAAATTTCCAGCTCTCACACTATTTACGGGACACCCTGTATACATTAGTGGTATGATACACAATGGTCGTTATACAACGAATGAACGAACATATTGATATTTCGATAAGTATGTTCAACACAATTGATTCTAGTACAAGCCATACTGAGCGAGAGTTTGAATTTGCACTTGATATAAAGAGTATGCAACATTTGTGCGGTGTCTCTGTTTATTCAATACAAAATCGAACTTTAACGATTTTATTATTTCTCGTTCAACATGGCTACTAGAGACGGCGTGAATTGTTACTTTTGAATCACTCGTGATTCGATCATGTTCATTCCCAATCATGGTGATTTTTCGTGATCGCTTTTGATTGGTGGGGATCGTTATTTTCACTTTTCACGAATTATGTCCTTAGACTGTATATGTATTATATTATAATATGATCTAAAAACAATGTTAACATAATTTTCTTATTAGCAGTGTAACGTCCGCGTAGCGTACGTCTCCCCACTCTGGCCCCTTGTCCCTATATTACGTATAGTTAGTTACCAGATAGCAAATAACTAGATTGTGGAAACCGCTCTTAAACATCACGAAATATTATATTCAAGTTGGTTCGAGAATTGACCGTTGTATCCATCGATAATTTTACGTTCGGACGTTAATTATTATATTTAATGTGTTAATCGATTGCCAATTATCCATTATTAATTATTACAGTTAGTAAAAGTTAGCTAATTAATGTAATAAAGTTTAAGCACGCGTAGGATTAAGAAATATAGATTTTATATACCTTTGAAGCGAACTATTAGCTGAGCGTGATTGCCAATAAACAAAGCAAAGAATGTTATCTACATCCGGCACAAGGTGACCGGAGGAACATGAATAAACCAAGTAAGTCTACTAGGGCAATCCTTTCTCATCACGCCGACGAATTTCGGACGTAACAATCACTGTTAGTGATTTTGCACGCCATCTATAGTTAGTGTAACGTTCGCGTAGCGTACGTCTCCCCACTCCGACCCCTCAGACCTGTGTTAGGCATAGTTACTTACCAGATAGGAAATAACTAGATAGTTATAGACCATGCTTAAACGTAACTAGTTGAGTCGTTCGTAACTTTTATGTTCGGGCATTGATTATTGTATTTCATGTATTAATTAATTATTAATTAATACAATGGGATTTTTTTCGTTTTGTTTTTCCCGCGTTACGGGGCTTTTGTTTTATCCGCGTTGAGGGATCCGTTTCGGTTTCCCCCGCATTAAAGAATTTCGTGTAAAAAGCTTTCCCGTGTTAAACGATTCACGGAAAAGGATCTCGGATTGAATGATTCGCGTCGAACTTGCGTCAGGAGATTAAATAACTTATGTCGAATAATCCGCGTTGAGGGACTCCGCATTAAGAAGGTTCCGCGTTAAAAGGGATAGTGGAAATGCCAACGTCGCGCAGTAAAACCATGGCCACGGAGGGCGAATTGTTAGAACTCCAAGAGTCGTTGTTAAAAAAGTATCGTAGGAATCGGGAAGAGGAGGAGCGCCTTAAAGCCGCGGAGGCGCAAATGATTAATCAGCGGGCAGAATTAGATGCAAAAACGGAAAAACTCCGCGAAAACGAGGATAGGGTGCGCGAATTGGAGGCGCGGTTAAGGGAAATGGAATGTAAATTAGCGGGGAAGATGCAGGCATCGAACAAGTTCCTGGGATCGGTTCGCACCCAACCCGCGAGCGGCGATCAGCGATCGAATTTAGAGTATGATAACATGAGAGGCGCGAGCCCGGACCGTGGTCAACGCCGCGAGTACCTGGAACCAGCGAGCGAAAGCGCGCAAAAGTTTCATAATAGCTTCGAGAACCAGGCCGCGGTAAATTTTTCTAAATTTACTAAATGCTAAATTTTTAGAGGCAATCTCACATTATAACGGAAGAAATATTCCCGTTTTGCAATTCGTGCGGGCCTGCAAAAGAGCGCGGGACGTGTTGCCGCCACACACGGAACCAGCGTTGGTCAGGCTGATTAAGAATCGTTTGTAAGGGCAGGCGTACCTCGCCGTGGAGGATCGACCGTACGATACCGTCCTACAACATTCGGATCGGTTAAGGAAGGCGTTCGATCCCTTGAAATCGATCGATCATTATAGCGCGGAGTTAACGAGCGTCCGGCAGTTCCCGAAGGAACATATTTTCGAATATACAGGGTGTTCGGCCACCTCTAGCAAAAATTTTAATGAGCGATAGTAGAGGCCAAAATAAGACGAAAATCAAGAATACTAATTTGTTGATGGAAGCTTCGTTAAAAAGTTATTAACAATTAAATTCAAAAATTTCAAATCGTTCTGGAAAAATTATTTTCGGTTGCGGGGGTCAACTACAATCATTTTTGGTGAGTACACATACCTCCGAAATCCTATCTACTTTCGAGAAAAAAAATCGAGTAGGTGCTGAAATTTTTTGGTGAAAAAAAATTTTTCAAATCGTTCTAAAAAAATTATTTTCGGTTGCGGGGATCAATTACAATCATTTTTTATCATTTCACATACCTCCAAAATCGTACGCACTTTCGAGAAAAAAATTCCTTACTGAAAATCCAATTAGATGCCTAAATTTTTCAACGGAGAAAAAAAATTGCAAATCGTTGTGGAAAAATTATTTTCGGTTGCGGGGGTCAATTACAATCAGTTTTTGTCATTAGACATACCCACGAAATCCTGCCCACTTTCGAGAAAAAAAATAGAGAAGGTGTGAAATTATTCGAGAAAATTAAAAAATTGCAAATCGTTGTGGAAAAATTATTTTCGGTTGTAGGGTTCAATTACAGTCATTTTTGGTGAATAGATATACCCCCGAAATCTTGCGCATTTTCGAGAAAAAAATTCAGTAAGGGCGGCACTTTAAACGTTAATAACTTTTTAACGAAGCTTCCATCAACAAATTGGTATTCTTGATTTTTGTCTTATTTTGGCCTCTACTATCGCTCATTAAAATTTTTGCTAGAGGTGGCCGAACACCCTGTATAGGGCGTGTAAAAGATTTGAAGGCCGCGAGTTTAGACTGCGATCGGATCCAGCAAGGTGCGCAGAGTTCCATAGACGAGATAAATGATTTTACGGTGCGTAGCTTTATTAGCGGTCTGATACCCGAGATCAGGGGACAAATGAACCGCACAACGTTTAGGAATTTGACGGAGGCGAAGTGCTCTTCACTGAACATGAACGCGATAAGGCGTGGTATAGTGGCCACGTGAATAAAACCGAACACTCTGGTAGAACGGTACCGGTAACCCGATCGAGCCCAAATTGTTTTCGTTGCAATCGGACGAATCATTCCGCCTCAAATTGCTGGGCGCGAACGGATGTCAATGGGCAGTTGTTGACACAGGGACGCGATAGAGAGGCCGGCTCAAAGTAACACTACCCAAGTGATACTCACCGATTTGAATAAAATTTAACACACTTATTAAACTCCGAAAAATATTAAATACGTGTTTTTTTGTTTCGGCTAAATACGCTTTTTAGGGGTAGAAAGCACCCCTCAACCTCTGGAGATGGAAACGTTTGTGGCTAATTATTTCTTAAAGGATACAGTTTCTGAAACAAGTACTAGATCCAGAGTTGTGTAGTTCAGAGTGATGCTCTTGATGGTGTCCTTGAAATTGACCTTCAAGTCGATTTTCAAGGTCAATTAAATTTGGAAATAATAAGTCGGACTGACCGGATTTAGCAGTTGCCGGACCTTGAACGCATCCTGTATTTATAATCAGTAATTTTATGCGATGACTCTAATCTGTCTTCAGAATTGATTTGTTGCGTTATTTTCCCAAAAAAGGAACAATCAGACGGTATGGGAAAGGAGAAAAAAAGTTTTGTAAGTAACTTCGGAATAGAAGTAAAGATAAGAAAACATGAAATGTCACTCTAATTGTAAATTGAACGTTACATTCATGCTATATTAGAAATTTTCATTTTTTTTTAACAGATTTCGAAAAGGGGGCGGTTACTATACAGGGTGTTCGGCTACCTATAGTAAAAATTTTAATGAGCGATAGTAGAGGCCAACGTAAGACGAAAATCAAGAATACCAATTTGTTTATGGAGGCTTCGTTAAAAAGTTATTAACGTTTAAAGTTCCGCTCGTACTGAATTTTTTTCTCGAAAATGCGCAAGATTTCGGGGATATGTCCATTCACCAAAAATTATTGTAATTGATCCCCGCAACCGAAAATAATTTTTCCAGAATGAAAATATAATTTGAAAATATAGACAAGGATAATAAA